TTCAACTCTGTGTCTCTGTGTGTGTGTGTGTGTGTGTGTGTGTGTGTGTGTTTTGTCTTGTATTATATTGTATTGGTCCTGTTTGGAATAAATCTCTAATTTTTTAGATCTGTGCTTTGATTTCTTTTATTATTTTTGGAAAAATTGCGGTTACTATCTCTTAAATGTTTCTTCTGCCACATTTTATCTTCTCGTTTGGTTTAAGTTATGCGTATGTTAGATCATATGATTTTTGTCCTACAGTTTTTGTATACTTTGTTCTGGTTTCTAAGTTAATTTTCTTTTAACTTTTTCTTTCTTTTTTGAGAGAAGGTCTCCCTGAAGCCCCAGCTGGCCTGGAACTCACTATATAGACCATGCTGGCCTTCTGGATAGCATAGAGATCCGCCTGCCTCTGCCTCTCAAGGACTGGGATAAATGTGTGTGTCACCATGCCTGGCTGATCACAACTTTCTTCTTTTCGGCTATTGTGCTTATTTTAGATTTTTTTCTTTTAATGTCCAATATTTCCTGAACTGTTTCTTTTTTTAAAATATTTTTATTTATTATTTTTATTTTATGTGCCTGCATGTATGTAAGTGCACCCATGTTGAGCAATGCCCATAGAGGTTAGAAGGGGATGTTGGATCCCCTGGAACTGGAGTTACAGATGGTTGTTAGCCATAATGTGGGTGCTGGGATTTGAACCTGGGTCCTCTGCAAGAGCAGCCAGTGCTTTGAACCACTGAGCCATCTCTCCAGCCCCCCTTGGACTTTTTTTTATAGTTTGTATTGCTCTGCTAAAATTTTAGAACTCAAATTTCAGGCATAGATTTCCCTTGAGCCTTAGTTTCCTTTTTTTCAAAATAGAAAAGCTGAGACTATATAATAACGACACGAATGTTTTTAGAATTGAAAGAAACTGTGGGTAAAATGAAAGTATTCCTTTGTACGTTCCCTTTCTTTTCTTCTGGGTCTCAGGTACTCACTAAGGGATTGGATTGCATGGTTACTTTGGTTCTGTTCAGTTCCTAAATTGTAAGCTTTTGTGAAAGAAGAAAGACCTAACATTTATTGACAGTCTGTATTAATCTCTTGTAGAATCTGAGGAAAAGATAAACCACATTTTAGCCACACGCTTTACTTTTGCTAGGTCTATATGGGATTTTAATTGGAAGAAACAGATAACATTAAGTCCAGTTGTCACTTGGTTATGTCTGTTAAAGAATCACTAAAAATTTTCAACTGTTGGGCTTCTTGACTCACTTGAGAAATTTCATGGTTCATAAAATGTCTCACCCAGTTTCTCCACACTTATAGGACTTTAAATTATCAGCCTGGTTTCTGAATATTTGCAATGTGGAGAAATGCTAATGGAGGTTATTGCTTTCTACTAATACAAAGATTCAACAGTCTCACTGGAATTGACTTAGGAGATGTGGATTTGGGTTTGAACTGTGGGTGTACCACTGTGATGCTTGGGCTGCTTATTTAATTTCTGAGCCTGAGTTTGTTCATCTGTGGAGCATGGATGGTACCAGCATCAAAGAGCTGTACTGAAGGTAGAAGACAGCGTGTGTAAAGCTTTAAGTCTCCTGTTTGGTTAATAGGAGTCAGTCATTGATAACAGTAAAAGTGGCAGCCAAAATGAAATATGCCGCCATCAGGTGAAAATGTTAATACAACTAAAGGGCTTCATGTTCTTATACCTTTTCATGGAAAGGACCATGTAGCAGAAGGATATTTTAACAGTAGGGAGAGGGTTAAATGAAAAGTGAATAATAAGAACCAAGAATCCAGTGCTTAGGAGGTGGTGGATGCTCACATGTACTGAGAACAGCCCCGTGACACCTTCCTTTGATACAGTGCTTGTGACCACACTGCCCTTTTGCTTTTCCACTCTCCCTGAACTCTGTCTCCATTTTTTCTATGTAATGCCCATCCTCCCTCCTTCTTATCCCCAGTAGAGATTTTGTATATATTTGGCACAGCCGTGGGTAAGAACTTGGATTGAATTCTTTAGATGCTGAGCTTCTTTGTCTTGTCATGATTAAAATCCCTTTGCCTTTTTGTTGTAGATGAAAATTTAAATATTAGCAAACTGAGTGTTGATCTGAAGTAAAAATACTAAAAACAAAAAACAAAACAAAACAAAAAAAACAGGTGTGGATAAAGAAACTATACCAACCTGAGGGTCCTGTCTTTCCTTTGCATACTGCATAAGACAAACAGGGCCCGAGCGTGGTGGCTCATGCTTTTAATCCCAGCACTCGGGAGGCAGAGGATGAGGTAGGCAGCAGAGCCAGGTGGATGACTGTGAGATCCAGGCGAGCCTGGGGTGAGCTACAAAGTGAGATTCAGGCCAGCTGGGGCTACATAGTAAGAAAAAAAAAAAAAAAGACAATATTTTCAAATAGCTAAATTATCAGAGTAAATATAATGAATTTTGAGGTGTCCAAATTCTGTGTCCATGAGTGATTTTGCTGTAATAGGCGTTATCCAGCACTGAAATTATTTAATGCAAAGAATCATTCTTTATTCACTGTGAGCACAATATGGACATTCTTACGTGAATAAAACAGGGAATAATGTCAAATTAGTTTGCATTTGCTTCTCTTGTCATCCCCAAAGTTCTCACAAAAGTACAATCCTGTCCATAATTTTTTATAGTTGGAAGGAACCTAAGAGATCCAGTCTCCTTCCTGTTACCCAGAGTCATGACGCAGTTTATCTAAAGTCATGTAATGAACTAATGACAGAGCCAGGGGAAGGGAAGTCCCTATCCATTCTGCCACAGTGCTGCATTTCTCAAGAGGAAACTGCCTACTCATTCCTGGGTTTTAATGCTGGTTAGAGCCTTGGGGTAAGGGTTTTTTCTATGACTAACTAGTGTTCTTTTGTTTTCTTGTGTGGGTGTCTGGGAACAAGTTCACTGAGTATTTTTATTGTAACAATCGAACTATGTGAGGCATAAGGAAGCATTTGTCTAGTTATGACTTCAGGAGACAGAAAGAAATGGTTGTAGCTCAAATTCTCTGCCTTCATTATTGGTGGGCAGCAATTCTTTTTTTCTTTGTTTTTATCTGTGTGTGCACTTGTGTGTACATGGGTATATGTGCAAATGCATATGGGTGCATGTGTATTTGGAGGCCAGAGGTTGACATCTGGTATCTTCACCTTATTTCTTAGTCTTTCTCCACCTCATTTTTTTAAAAACATTTATTTACTTTACTGTGTATGTATATAGGGGTGAGCACACGCCATAACCATAGCATGAATGTGGAAGTTAGAGAACAACTTGTGGTAATTGGCTTTCTCCTTCACTCAGGGATCGAAGCCCGCTCAAGCTTGGTGGCAAGTACCTTTACCCATTGAGCCCTCCTCCCCTTTTTATGAGACAGGGTCTGTCACTGAACTTGGAACCCACTGATTCGGCAAGACTGGCTAGCCAGTGAGTGCCAGGATACTTTTGTATCTGCCTCCCTGGGACTAGGATTACAGGCACACATTAGCACACCTGGTGTTTTTACATGGGTGCTGGAGATCAAACTCAGGTCCTCATGCTGCATGGCAGACACTTTACCAACTGCTCCTTCTCCTAATCTCCTAGGCATCTCTTTTAACATTGAGTTTCTTAATCTTCAACTCTGAATTCCCTAACTTTATGAAAATTATGTACCTATTCTAAAAAAAGAATTGGTAGCTTTCATCAAAGGACACATAATTTAGAACTGTTGTTTAGAAGGGCCAAGCCTGCTTACAACCTGAGTGCTCATTATAGTAGAGGACCACCCCCCCCCGTCTCCATTGCCTTCTGCTGGGGTCCTTTCCTACTGACAGGTCTTCCAGGGACTTCCAGGATTGTTCCATGGAACCACTGGAGGCCTCAGCCTTCTTATTTTAGGCCCTTTCCCAGGCTTTCTTGAGGCTTGTCTTCTTCCCTTCTCTGCTCTGTCTCCAGGACAGAGTGTGAGATTCAGGGATATTTGCTCATTAGAAAGCTCAGGAGAGTTAATTCAGTTACCGCTTGATTGAAAAGGATGTGGGCACTGACCTGAGAGCCAAACTATTGCACTAAGGGGGTAAAAATTTGAATGGGAATTCTTCTAATCAATACTGTAGAAATTAACTCTCAGAATGCCTCTAGTTATTTAGTTAGGAAATCCCTGTGTTTGAACTAGAAACTTTCATATTTTCTAAGTGCATAATGAAAATTCACATATGGTGGCTTAGGAGTTGCTGAGATCTGTCTAAAAAATTGAATATTTCCTTCTTCAATTTTACTTAACTTACATGGATGGAGATTGATTTTGGCAGGCTTCCTTTCCCAAAGAGAACATATAGAAAGCATGTTCTATTTAAGTCTGGCATCTGGACCTACAAAGAAAAACCAGCACAAAGATTGAGGTAGAAGAGTGTGTTCATTTATTTATTCACTTTAAAAAGCACTTATTGAGAACATGTAAGTGCTTAGGGCCATCTCAGATGATAGGAAATGAGACCAGCTTGGTCTCTTGAGAGGCTCACAGTTATTAGGGACACAAACCACACAACTAAGAATAACAATTCAGAGCTGAGTATATAACTCAGTTGGTAGGGCACTAGCACAAAGCCCTGGATTCGATCCCTAGCTTCACATAAGCTGCATGTGGTAGCTCGCACCTGTAATTCTAGGAGGCAGAAGGATCAGGAGTTCAAGGTTATCCTTGGCTACAGAGTGAGTTCAAGGTCATTTGGGCTACAAGAGACCCTATCTCAAAAGGAAGAAAAAATAAAACAACTATTCATGCTAAATATTCCCATCAAGTTTGCATGCCTGCCAGGAGGAGTGTCAGTAGCACCCCTAGAGTACTGGGCAATAAAGATAAAGTGGACTTCATGATTAGGGTTGTGTCCTAAGGGTTCAATACAACTTTGTCCAAGCAAAGAAGTGGTCAGGGTATAAACGGTGTGTTTGAATCTTTCCAGTTTTAACTAAAATTGATGTTCACCATGTTCTCTTACTTTGTATTTTGAATTAGAGCTCCAAACGAGAATGGAAGCCCCTGGAGGACCGTAGCTGCACGGACATACCATGGCTGCTGCTCTTTGTCCTCTTCTGCATTGGAATGGTAAGGATAATCGCAGCTGACCCACTCCTCAGCTCCTGGGGCAAGGGCATGATGGGTAGGGAGTTGTTTCAAAGAGGGAACTTGCAGTGTATTTGTACATATGTATTTTATCTCTCCTTTACTGCTTATAATTGGAATAATTGGAGGGCCCACGATACCATCAGAGTGGGTTTTCCCCCCTTCAGTATAATCCAGTAGTATTTGGTATCCCCTGTTACTTTGTTTACTTTCTTTTGTTTTTATGTTTTGTCTTATTATATGAAAACTGAGGTAAAAATTAAGAAGCCACTGGGAATCTTATTCCAGTCTCTCAGTCATTTTAGAAAGTCAGATCATTTGACATAAGTTTCTTTGAATTCTGATCATGAAGGGTTGTTAAGCAGAATTCACACAGGCCTTTTGGTTATCTAAGGGCCAGTCAGTTCTCTTTCTAGAGACTTGGTATTCCTTTATACAAATAGATGTTTTGCTGTATATTATCTACCATACTTCAGTGCTGACATTTAGTTCTTCCTACATGGGAGGAGGCTGCTCAGCTTCTCCCTCTTGCCCCTACTAGGCCCTGAAGCCTGCTGTCTATTGTGATGAATGGCAGCTCTCTGTTGGAAAGCAAGACCCCTGGTGATTTTCCACCTAGTGGAGTGGATGAGGGGCAGAGCCCTGGTGCAGGTGCTGTGTGTGAACTTTTTCAGTAGCGTACTCACTGCCTTGCTGGAGTTCTGAACATAGGCATCAGTGGCTTTGGAGTCTCTGCCAGGGTGCTAGGCTCCAAAATGGTAGACAAATAGGTAACTGATATTTAGTGCCAAAGGGGTTGGGGATCGTCATCTGGCCCATCACCCTCAGTTTATAGATTGAACCCTCAAACCAAACCCAGAGAGCAAGGCAGCCATCCTAGGCTACACTGCTGGTGAATGGCAGAGCTGCTACGGCCCAGTCTCGTCATGTCGGTCACTGCTTTCTACCTTTTCCTCCTCATAAGGGAACTATGCAGAACATCATTGCTCTCCCCTTCTTTGTCTGCAACTCAAAATGCAGCTACACTGCCTCAGGCAGCCTTACTCAGTTGTGTTTTTAGCCCCCATCTTCCCATATTTTTTATGGAAGTTCTTTAGGGAAATGTTACTCTTTGTCTTTCTGTAATAAAAAAAACCCTCAATATTCTGTTTCTCTCTGTCTACCTCCCAAATACCATCTGTGAATCACAGAACAATCACAGTCATGGCCAATAGACACCACTGTAGGTATCAGTTCTAGCCCTGAGCAAAGGAAAAGAAAGCAATAAATTTTAATGAGGTGAAATAAACCTAGGAAAATAAGGAGTATTTGTTTTAAAGATAAAAGTACAGTTTCACCAAATTTAGGACATTTAGAAAAGGTCAAAATGCTCATTTTCTAACTTAGGCCTTATAAGATATTGAAGAGTTGACTTAGTTTAGCAGAATGGCATCGGAAGTACAGCATATGTGAATATTCATGTGGAGTGTGGAAAAGACTCTCGCTGACAAAATTAGTCCACAGCTTTCCCACAACCATTGAATGCAAGTAACCCTGGAGCAAATAGCAGCTGACCTTTCAAAATTATGTTTATAAAAACATGTGCCATGCCACCCTAGGTGCTTTTGATTTTCTGTGCTAAAATAGCTCAGGAAAGTGCAACCATTAATGTTAACAGACTGATTTGGGAGTGACTTTAGCACATGCACTTGTCTACTGAAATGTTTTAATGCAGTGGTAATTAATATAATGTTGATTTTAGTGTGATGGTAATTAAGACCCACTGTGTGTGCTTTTAAATGCAAGCATAGCATTATTTGTTTTGGAATGATTCTTTTAATAGATCGCTCTCCCATCAAATTGAGCTAATGTCAAATTTTGCCATGAGGAAATGAATGTAATCTCAAACTTCTGTTACCTATCACATTAGCAACAGCTGAGGTTCAGTGTTGCTTCTGGCATTTGAGTTTTGTTTTATATATATTATATATATATAAGAAATCTTTTACCCCTTTGAATTTCATTTCGTAGTATCCCACATCCCAAATGCTTAGGATTACAAGTGTTACCGATTTCAATTTTAAGACATATTTTTGAATGACTCTTGAGGTGGCTCAGGGAGTAAAGGTCCTTGCTGCCAAGCCCGAGTTTGATCCCCGGGCCTTCTTTGGTGGAAGGAGAGAACTGACTCTACCAAATTGTCCTGTGACCTCTGCACCTGTGTACATAGTTGCACACAAATGCACACATACAAATAAGTAAAAGTTAAAAAAGAGGGGAGTGGGCAGGCTGGGTGTGGTGGTGCACAACTTTAATCCCAGCAATTGGGAGGACCGGGGCAGGCAGATCTCTGAGTTCCAGGCCAGCCTGATCTACAAAGTGAGTTCCAGGCCAGTTATGGCTACATAGTGAGATCCTTTCTCAAAACAAACAAAAAGGAAATGTATGTGACATTTGCTTATATATAATGAGGTGAGGTGTCTAGGGGATGGAACCCAGGTCTAAACACAGAATCGATTCATGTTTCATGTATACCTTATCCCTGAAGATAATTGTGTATGCTGTTTTCAGTGTGCCTGTGTTTGGGCTGCAGCTTGTCCTAAGAGGCCACATGTGAATTTTCTACTCATGACTCCTGTTCAGAAAGTTCCAGATTTTGAAGCATTTGAAGACTTCATATTTTCAGAGTAGGAGTGTTCAACCTGGATTTTTAAAACAAATGTTCAAGCTGGGTATGGTGGCACACACCTTTAATCCCTCCACAGAGACCAGAGGCAGGCAGATTCCTGTTGGTTCAAGGCCAGCCTGGTTTACATAGTGAGTTCTGGGTCAGTCAGCATTACCTAGTGTGATTCTGTTTCAACAAAATAAAACCAAGCAGGGACTGGAGAGATGGCTCAGCAGATAAGAACACTGGCTACTCTTGCAGAGGATCTGGGTTTGATTTCCAGTATCTACATAACAGCTAACAACTGTCCAGGTGATCCGATGCTCTCTTTTGACCTCTGTGAGCATTGCATGACATGGGTGCCCCTACCTACATGCAGGAAATAGAGACATACACATAAAATAAAAATAATGATTTCTTTAAAAACAAAAT